GCACCCCCCGCCTGCCCTGCCCCTGCACCCCCCGCCCCTGCAGCCTCTGTGAGCCCCTGCTCCCCACTCGCCCTGCACCCCCCAGCCTACCCTGTCCCTGCAGCCTCTGCGCCCCCCTGCAGCCTCTGTGACCCCTGCTCCTCACTCGCCCTGCAGCCCCTGCAGCCTCTATGCCCCCGCCTGCCATGCCCCTGCTCCCCCGCTCACCCGGCAGCCTCTGCCTGCTGAGGGCTTCAGATGCTCAGCAGCGCGGGTCCCTGCAGCCCTGGCCGCAGCTTCCTTCCTGCCGCCGAGTGCGTTCCCCGGCCTGTCTGTCCCCGCCGGAAACAGCTCCTGCGGCGCCGGGTTCCAAGCTGCGCGGGGCAATGGGGCCACAGGAAGGGTCCCCCAGTGGCCGGGGGGCCCCCGCACGTGAGGGAAGCCCGAGACCCCCCCGTTCCCCGCCTGAGCATTGTAGCTGGGGCAGCTGGGCTGCGCTGCGAACCCGGCGAATCGTGCTGGGCGGACCCTGGCTTATGCCTCCCTATTTCCCCGGACTTGTCCGGCTCTTTGAAAATTTCCCCCGGACGAGGATTTGAGCACCAAAAAGCCGGACATGTCCAGGGAAATCCGGACATATGGTAACCCTAATTTATTAGGAACTGTGTTCTCTGTGATTCACAGCCCTTTATTTTATGGATCTTTTGAGAAGGAACTGAAGTTGTTTTAGCAACGTGGGCATCATATAGTGAGGAAGGGGAACTAATGATTTGTAGTCTAGGCTTTTTTTTAAAATTGGCTGTAGTTAACATAATTACATTGCAAAAAGCAATTTTGTGACAATGAGAACCTTGAAATTAGTCTTTGCTATTTGTGATCGAGACCTTACCTCTGTAGTTTTGGGGGTGTACTTTTCTTCTGTGAATAAGTTTATAGACCTCTAAAGCCACAGGAATGCCTGGGTTTTCCCTCTAACTTTAACCCTGAATAGATACTGGATTATTCATTATTTTTATTTTAGCATTTTAAATATATATATATATATATATATTATATATATATATATATATATATTTA